GAGTCCACTAAACCACTAAATCACTCTCCCTTCCTCGGAAAAAAGTAAGTGAAGGGATAGGAAGAAAGAACAGAAACAGCCTTCTTCATCCTTTCAGAAGAGTGGAACTTCCTGTTTTATAGGCTAGAAGAAATGCAGGAAGAGGATAAGAATTGTGTCACACGGAAGCAAGGAAAGAAAAACACCCTGGCCACCAGTTTAAAAAGCTTGCAAACCTATGCCACTGTTTTTTTCATGCCTATATAGGAAATTACTGCCTATAGAAAAAGTGAAGAAATGTGTTCCTGGAACTTATTTGAACCAGACCGGCCAGTCCCCAGCTCTGACCTTATTCTACCATTTATCTCCCTGAGAGGGCCCAGAGATAAAGGAACTCAGCTGGTAGACACCAGAGTTAAACTCTAGTGAACTTTTCAGTCCACATTTTCCACACACCCACCTTCCTAAGCTGATTTAGCATCAGGGTTCATGCAGAGCTCAATTATTTTTTTTTCCAATTCCAGAATTTATTAACTGTACAATTGTTTAATTCCTGAACCCATCTGGGACTCAGTTTTATAGCCTGCAATTGGGAAGGGCTTTTTTTTTTTTAACATCTTTATTGGAGTATAATTGTTTTACAATGGTGTGTTAGTTTCTGCTGTATAACAAAGTGAATCAGCTATATGTTACATATATCCCCATATCTCTTCCCTCTTGCGTCTCCCTCCCACCCTCCCTATCCCACCCCTCTAGGTGGTCGCAAAGCACCAAGCTGATCTCCCTGTGCTATGCGGCTGCTTCCCACTATCTATCTATTTTACATCTGGTAGTGTGTATATGTCCATGCCACTCTCACTTCGTCCCAGCTTACCCAGAGCTCAATTCTTTTGAACTTACTTACAAGTTCTATCATTATACTTGCCCACATTATGCAAGCAGTTTGCAATCTCCCCTAATTCTCCGGCTTTAATTATATAATTGAACAAGCCAAAAACTCATTTTTCCCAGGAAACATTAAACATTACCATCTTAATGAAATTCTTAATGACATGGTCCACTATGCATGCCAATGACCGGTAGTAGCTGGGCCCCTAGCTTATCACTGGGCAAGGCAATTGGACAAATGCTCTTTCTTTTGTCAGTCACCAGGAACGGCAACCCTCACCTCACACTTTTGACTGGAATGATAATTCCACAAGACCGGAAGATGGGTCACTGCAAGATGCATGGATATCATTAAGATCGGACAGAAAGAGGTTAAATGAAGTAGAAATTGATCTTAACCTATACAAATCAAAACTTATTTTCAAAGCTGAATGAGCTCACTTAAACTTTTCTTGCCAATTAAAAAAAAAAATTTATCCTTCTTAAAAAAAAAAATTTATCCTTGTTTTCTCCAGAAGGTCTGAGAGATAAATAGCTCTCTTCTCAACTAACTTTTCAGGACTGAAGACAGGAAATGGTCAAAATATAAGAAACTTAGGGGACTTCTGAAATTTCCAGCATAGTTCATGGGTGACTCTTCAATTGTCTATTCTTTCCCAACTGCATTTTTCAAATGCCCTTGTTGCATAAATCTCAGATCTTATATACACCACACACTGTCAAAGGCCAAAGTGACTGGCTGCCAAAAGCTAAAATGGAAGGAAAGCAAACCTGTTCACACATTTGTTCAAATAGCATGGACATCAATGTCCCGTGCCAAGTAAATACCAAATTAAAGTACTTAATAATAGCCACTATTTATAACAAATTCCCAGTCCCCAAACCTTGTCAGATCTTTGCATTGCCAGAAACATGTCAAGATGCCAAAACATTTATGGTACTTTAGAGAAATTAATTGCTACATATATCACAGTACCTAACTGAGTAACTATTATTTCTCATCCTCTCAAGTTCTTCTGTTTTTCTACAAAAGGAACTAAAGGCAATGGAAAATTATGTTTGTAAAGTTTTTAGCAGCTTTGTTGGAATATAATTCATCTATCATGTAATTCACCCACTTAAAGTATAGAATTCAATGGTTTGGGGTATATTACATAATTAATTTTTTAATTGTGGAAAAATATATCTATCATAAAATTTGCCATTTTTTTAAACTTTTTTAAGTATAAATTTATTTATATTTGGCTGCGTTGGGTCTTCGTTGCTGTGTGCGGGCTTTCTCTAGTTGCAGTGAGCAGGGGCTACTCTTCATTGCGGTGTGCAGGCTTCTCATTGCAGTGGCTTCTCTTGCAGTGAAGCACAGGTTCTAGGGCACACGGGCTCAGTAGCTGTGGCTTGTGGGCTCTAGAGCGCAGGCTCAGTAGTTGTGGCGCATGGGCTTAGTTGCTCCGCATCATGTGGAGTCTTCCCGGACCAGGGCTCGAACCCATGTCCCCTGCATTGGCAAGTGGATTCTTAACCACTGCACCACCAGGGAAGTACTGCCATTTTTAAATGTACGATCAATGCCATTAATTACATACAAAAAGTTGTGCAACCATTACCACTACTTCCAAAAGCTTTTTATCACTCCAAATGGAAACTATATCACCATTAAGTAATAACTCTCCCTTCCTCCTCCCTGCAGGCCCTAGAAACCTCTAGTCTACTTTCTAACTATATGAATTTGCCTGTTTTGGATGTTTCATGTAAGTGGAATAAAACACTATTTGTCCGTTTGTGTCTGGCTCGCTTCACTTAGCATACTGTCTTCAAGGTTCATTCATGTGATAGCATGTGCCAGGATTTCATTCCTTTTCATGGTGGAATAATATACCATTATATGTATATACCACATTTTGTTTATCCATTCATCTGTAATCATGTTGATTATAGGTTTATTTTTTTTAATAATTTGACTGCAGAGAATTGAGAAATCTCATACTTCAATTCATAGCACACTCTTGTCATCAGTCAAGATGTGTCCCTCTCTTATTAATTTCTTCATCCCCAGAAGTCTCTCCTCCAATGGGCATGCATGCTAATGTGTTTTATGTAGATCCTTAAATATGTATGTAGGTTTGTAAAATACAGAATTGTGTGTTGTTTTAATTTATATAAATGCATTTAATTTACATAAATCTGAGACTTCCCTGGTGGTCCAGTGGCTAAGGCTCCACTCTCCCAATGCAGGTGGCCCAGGTTTGATCACCGGTCAGGGAACTAGATCCCACCTGCCACAACTAAGAGTTTGCATGCCACAGCTACAGATCCTGTGTGCCACAATGAAGATGCCACATGCCGCAACAAAGATCCAGCACAGCCAAATAAATAAATAAATATTTTTTTAATTTACATAAATCTCATTCTGTTTCTTTTTCACTCAACTCTATGTTTGTCAGGTCTACAGGTATTACTATGTCTAGTTAACTGTTAATGGTTTAATGAAATATGGCAGAAAGAGATTAAGTGGTTTCTTGTTATATTTTTTTCCACTGAGAGAGGTGACTCCCAGGGTAAATTCTGTACTTTTCTGTGAGCAGTGGACAAATCTCTTAATCCCTCCAAGTCTTAGTTTCTTCACCTGTATAATGAGGGGGTTACACCAGATGAGAGATCCTTATGGGCAGTATGCATCAAATGACCTAGGAAACTTTTCCAAAATAATGTGCTCAGCTCAACACCGCTAATCATCAGGGAAAAGCAAACCAAACCACAAGGAAGTATCACCTCAGATCTGTCAGAATGGCTATCATCAAAAAGACCACAAATAACAAATGTTGGCGAGGATGTGGAAAAAAGGGAACCCTCATGCACTATTGGTAGAAACGTAAAATGGTACAGCCACTGTGAAAAAAAAGTATAGAGGTTTCTCAAAAAAATAAAAATAGAAATACCATACGACCCAGCAATTCTACTTCTCGGTATATATGTGAAATAAAAACACTAATTCAAAAAGATAATACATGTTCACAGCAGCATTATTTACAGTTGTCAAGATATGGAAGCAACCTAAGTGTCCATCAACAGATAAAGAAGATGTGGTATATATACACAATGGAATACTACTCAGCCATAAAAAAAGAACAAAAGTTTGCCATTTGCAACAACATGGATGGACCTGGAGGGTATTATGCTTAGTGAAATACATCAGATGGAGAAAGACAAATACTATATGATATCACTTACATGTGGAATCTAAAAAAATACAACAAACTAGTGAATAAAACAAAAAAGCAGATTCACGGATATAAAGAACAAATTAGTAGTTGCCAGTGGGGAGGGGGAGGGGCACTATAGGAGTGGGGGAGTGGGATTTACAAACTACTGGGTGTAAGATAGGCTACAAGGATGTACTGTACAACATGGGGAATATAGCCAGTATTTTGTAATAATTGTACATGGAAAGTAACCTTTTAAAATTACATTAAAATGTTAAAAGTAATTAAAAAAACAAAACAAAATGATGTGTCCAATGCAACAGCAAAATTTAAGGCAGTAAAACCCTGGCATAAATAATAATAAATAATAAATCGCCAAATGATTCTGATGTGCACCCGTGGTAAAAACCCCGGCACAAGATGGATCTCTGAGGGCTCTTCCCTTTAGTATACTAGGATTCTGTGACTATAGGGAAAATCTCTCAGCAAAGGTCCTAAGTGAACCAGAGGCAAGAACCTGGCAATAAAGATGATGCCTTTGTCCCAGTTCTCTGTTTTCTAAATACAAAATCTATTTTAAAAGCATTTATGCTATTTTATTGCTAACTTCTATAAGGATATTCCAAGGATTAACTGCTCCCTGGCTAACTCACTCTTCCACAACTCCTCAGGGCTCAATCCTTCCTTAGCTTGGATCATGCCCTCTGGTTCTTGTATTTGATAAAAGCTGAAAGAGGCTGGGAACTTCTTTCATTTCTATTCCCATCAGAAGTTTGTGTAGCTCAACAGGGTCACCTCTGAGTTTCTGCTTTTGTAAGGAATACAGATCTGGTCCCTACACTCTGCTTTAAGAAGAAAATGCCTGTACTGTCATACACATACAGTTCTGCTCATTCTCCATGCCTTGAACTGAATTCAAAAATCAGAACTAACCTTCCGAGTCTTGTATTTCTTGCCCCCAAATATTACTGTTAAAAATTTGGACACACAGAAAATGGGAAGAAGAAAATAAAAATTACTATAATCCCACTGAGTGATACAATTTTCCCTCCCAAATATCACACTATCTAATTGTTCTAGTCAGTTCTGGCTGCTATAACAAAGTACTATAAACTGGGAGGTTTATAAACAGACACATATTTGCTCATAGTTCTGGAGGCTGGGAGTCCAAGATCAAGGTGCCAGTACAGTCGGGTTCTGGTGAGGACCCTCTTCTGGGCTGCAGACTGCTGATTTCTCATTATATCCTCAAGTGGCAGAGAGCAGGGAGAGGAAGCAAGCTGTCTCATGACTCATAAGGGCACTAATCTCATCATGGGGGCTCCACCCTCATGACTTCATCTAATCCTGATAACCTCTCAAAGGCCCCACCTCCTAATACCGTCACATTGGGGGATAGGGTTTCAACATATGAACTGGGTCGGGGGTGGGGAGAGACACAAACATTCAGTTCTTAACATTCTTACCTATCTCCGTTAGTGGTACCTTAATGGTCCCGTCACTCAGGCCCCACACCCAGGAATTATGCTTGGTTCCTCTCTTTTCCTTACTTCCTCCAACCTCCAAATATATCCTGAATCTATCCTCATTTTTCTGTTTCCATTCCTACCACCATAAGCCAAACTGCCATCTTCTCTTATCCAGGCTTCTCACTTAGCCTCCCCAAAAAATTGCTGAAGGAATGAAAAATATTGACTGACAGAACCAGGAAACAAAAATATACATGCTGGCTTGAAGAATTAGGCTAAAACTAACAAGATTGAATTTAAGACAAATAAACATAAGCCTCTGCATTTACTTTCCAAAATTCCATGGCACAAGTTACAAGTTGTATAAAGGACTTGGGTGATTTATTTGACTGCAAGCTCACTTAAGAAAACAATGTGATGTACCCAACTGAAAAAAAAAAGTTCTTACTATTTAGTTGAATGAATAAAAAATGTACAGTCCAGTACAAAGGGCATAATATAATCCTTTTGTGCTGGTCACACACGATGATTCATTGTGGGCACCAGATTTAGATAGATAGATAGATAGATAGATAGACAGATAGATCAACCTCCGTAATTGATAAAGAAGGGTTCTGAGCAGAGCTAGACTGTGAGTAGTCATGTTGCTAGACATGAGCAACAGCTGAAAGAACAGGGAGTACTCATCTGGAGAAAAGAAGACTGAGGGTCTAAAGGGTACACCCACACTTGGATGGACCTGGAGGGTACAATGCTTAGTGAAATAAGTCAGATGGAGAAAGACAAATACTACATGATATCACTTACACGTGGAATCTAAAAAAATAAAACAAACTAGTGAATAAAACAAAAAAGAAGCAGACTCACAGATATAGAGAACAAATTAGTTTCCTTCACTAAATATTTTTCAGTCTGTGACTTGATCAGCAGATCCATGACTACACATTCCTTGGATGTCCCCTGGTCTGAGATTTGTCCTTGGATCAGAACCTTATTTGGGGCTCTCCCCAGGGTGAGCTCCTGCTCTCTCTCTCTGGATTCAGCTGGGGCTACCAAAAGTCACATTGTGACTTTTGGCCTTCCTCATGTTAGGTGATGTGGAGGTGTTAGGAGACCCAGACTCCGGCAGAAACCAAGACGAAGCCTCCAGAATGCTGCTCCCACAGCCTGGCACGTTCCTTCCTGAAAGGTGAACTGAATCCAGCAGGCAGATTTTGTCACCAGCCACATCTTTAGAAGGCTGCTTCAAATGAAGAAACATTAAAATAATAATAGTGATCTCTGCCCACGGACACGAAAACCTACCAAAGGTACATTTTTAAATTAAAAAGCAGGTTAACGGCTTCCCTGGTGGTGCACTGGTTAAGAGTCCGCCTGCCGATGCAGGGAACACGGGTTCGTGCCCTAGTCCAGGAAGATCCCACATGCTGCAGAGCAGCTGGGTCCGTGAGCCATGGCCGCTGAGTCTGCGCATCCGGAGCCTGTACTCCGCAACGGGAGAGGCCACAATAGTGAGAGGCCCGCGTATCACAAAAAAAAAAAAAAAAAAAAAGCAGGTTAAAAAACAATGTATTGAATATTTTCCATTTTTGTTGTAAAATAAAATACCTATAAAAAGTCTGGGAGAGGAGCTTCAAGAGGGCTGAAGAGTAAGACAGAGAGATCACCTTCCTCCCCACAAATACATCAGAAATACATCTACATGAGGAACAACTCCTACAGAACAGCTACTGAATGCTGGCAGAAGACCTCAGACCTCCCAAAAGGCAAGAAACTCCCCACGTACCTGGGTAGGGCAAAAGAAAAAAGGAAAAACAGAGACAAAAGAATAGGGACGGGATCTGCACCAGTGGGAGGAAGCCGTGAAGGAGGAAAGGTTTCCACACACTAGGAAGCCCCTTCGCGGGCAGAGACTGCAGGTGGCGGAGGGGGGGAGCTTCGGGGCCGCGGAGGAGAGCACAGCAACAGGGGTGCGGAGGGCAAAGCGGAGAGATTCCCACACAGAGGATCGGAGCCTACCAGCACTCACCAGGCCGAGACGCTTCTCTGCTCACCCGCCGGGGCGGGCAGGGCTGTGAGCTGAGGCTCGGGTTTCCATCGGATCCCAGGGAGAGGACTGGGGTTGGCTGCATGAACACAGCCTGAAGGGGGCTAGTGCACTACGGCTAGCCAGGAGGGAGTCCAGGAAAAGCTCCGAAACTGCCTAAGAGGCCAGAGCCCATTGTTTCGGGATGCGTGAGGAGAAGGGATTCAGAGCACCACCTAAACAAGCTCCAGAGACTGGCGCAAGCCATGGTTATCAGCACGGACCCCAGAGACAGGCATGAAATGCTAAGGCTGCTGCTGCCGCCACCAAGAAGCCTGTGTGTGAGCACAGGTCACTATCCACACTTCCCCTCCCGGAAGCCTGCATGGCCCACCACTGCCAGGGTCCCGGGATCCAGGGACAACTTACCCAGGAGGACACACGGCACGCCTCAGGCTGGTGCAACGTCACACCGGCCTCCGCCGCCGCAGGCTCACCCCGCATCTGTACCCCTCCCTCCACCAGGCCTCAGTGAGCCAGAGCCCCCTAATCAGCTGCTCCTTTAACCACGTCCTGTCTGAGCCAAGAACAGACACCCTCAGGCGACCTACACGCAGAGGCGGGGCCAAATCCAAAGCTGAACCCCAGGAGCTGTGGGAACAAAGAAGAGAAAGGGAAATCTCTCCCAGCAGCCTCAGGAGCAGTGGATTAAATCTCCACAATCAACTTGATGTACCCTGCATCTGTGGAATACCTGAATAGGCAACGAATCATCCCAAACTGAGGAGGTGGACTTTGGGAGCAAAGATATATATTTTTTTCCCTTTTCTCTTTTTGTGAGTGTGTATGTGTACGCTTCTGTGTGTGATTTTGTCTGTATAGCTTTGCTGTTACCATTTGGCCTAGGGTTCTGCCTGTCCGTTTTTGTTTTTTCTTTTAGTATAGCTTTTAGCACTTGTTATCATTGGTGGATTTGTTTCTTGGTTTGGTTGCTCTCTTCTTTCTTTCTCTCTTTTTTTTTAATTACATTTAAAAAAATTTTAATAATTATTTTTTATTTTAATAACTTTATTTTATTTTATCTTCTTCTTTCTTTTTTTCCTCCCTTTTACTCTGAGCCGTGTGGATGACAGGCTCTTGGTGTTCCAGCCAGGCTTCAGGGCTGTGCCTCTGAAGTGGGAGAGCCAACTTCACGACATGGGTCCACAAGAAACCTCCCAGCTCCACGTAATATCAAACAGTGAAAATATCCCAGAGATTTCCATCTCAACGCCAAGACCCAGCTCCACTCAATGACCAGCAAGCTCCAGTGCCGGACACCCTATGCCAAACAACTAGCAAGACAGGAACACAACCCCACCCATTAGCAGAGAGGCTACCTAAAATCATAATAAGGCCACAGACACCCCAAAACACACCACCAGACACAGAACTGCCCACCAGAAAGACAAGATCCAGCCTCATCCACCAGAACACAGGCACTAGTCCCCTCCACCAGGAAGCCTACACAACCCACTAAACCAACCTTAGCCACTGGGCACAGACACCAAAAACAACGGGAACTACAAACCTGCAGCCTGTGAAAAGGAGACCCCAAACACAGTAAGTTAAGCAAAATGAGAAGACAGAAAATCACACAGCAGATGAAGGAGCAAGGTTAAAAACCCAACAAATGAAGAGGAAATAGGCAGTCTACCTGAAAAAGAACTCAGAATAATGATAGTAAAGATGACCCAAAATCTTGGAAATAGAATGGAGAAAATACAAGAAACGTTTAACAAGGACCTAGAAGAACTAAAGAGCAAACCAACAGTGATGAACAACACAATAAATGAAATTTAAAATTCTCTAGAAGGAATCAATAGCAGAATAACTGAAGCAGAAGAACAGACAAGTGACCTGGAAGATAAAATAGTGGAAATAACTACTGCAGAGCAGAATAAAGAAAAAAGAATGAAAAGAACTGAGGACAGTCTCAGAGACCTCTAGGACAACATTAAACTCACCAACATTCGAATTATAGGGGTCCCAGAAGAAGAAGAGAAAAAGAAAGGGACAGAGAAAATATTTGAAGAGATTACAGTAGAAAACTTCCCGAATATGGGAAAGGAAATAGCTAATCAAGTCCAGGAAGGACAGAGTGTCCCATACAGGATAAATCCAAGGAGAAATACGCCAAGACACATATTAATCAAACTATCAAAAATTAATACAAAGAAAAAATATTAAAAGCAGCAAGGGAAAAACAACAAATAACATACAAGGGAATCCCCATAAGGTTAACAGCTGAACTTTCAGCAGAAATGCTGCAAGCCAGAAGGTACTGGCAGGACATATTTAAAGTGATGAAGGGGAAATACCTAGAACCAAGATTACTCTACCCAGCAAAGATCTCATTCAGATTTGATGGAGAAATTAAAACCTTTACAGACAAGCAAAAGCTAAGAGAATTCAGCACCACCAAACCAGCTTTACAGCAAATGCTAAAGGAACTTCTCTAGGCAGGAAACACGGGAGAAGGAAAAGACCTACAATAACAAACGCAAAACAATTAAGAAAATGGTAATAGGAACATACATATCAATAATTACCTTAAATGTAAATGGATTAAATGCTCCACCCAAAAGACATAGACTGGCTGAATGGATACATAAACAAGACCCGTATATATGCTGTCTACAAGAAACCCACTTCAGACCAACGGACACACACAGACTGAAAGTGAGGGCATGGAAAATGATATTCCATGCAAATAGAAATCAAAAGAACGCTGGAGTAGCAATTCACATATGAGACAAAACAGACTTTAAACCAAAGACTATTACAAGAGACAAAGAAGGACACTACATAATGATCAAGGGATCAATCCAAGAAGAAGATATAACAATTGTAAATATTTATGCACCCAACACAGGAGCACCTCAATACATAAGGCAAATACTAACAGCCATAAAAGAGGAAATCGACAGTAACACATTCATAGTAGGGGACTTTTAACACCCCACTTTCACCAACGGACAGATCATCCAAAATGAAAATAAATAAGGAAACACAAGCTTTAAATGATACATTGAACAAGATGGACTTAATTGATATTTATAGGACATTCCATCCAAAAACAACAAAATACACTTTCTTCTCAAGTGCTCATGGAACATTCTCCAGGATAGATCATATCTTGGGTCACAAATCAAGCCTTGGTAAATTTAAGAAAATTGAAATCATATCAAGTATCTTTTCTGACCACAACGCTATCAGACTAGATATCAATTACAGGAAAAAATCTGTAAAAAATACAAATACAAAAGGGAAATCAAAAAATACCTAGAAACAAATGACAATGAAAACACGATGACCCAAAACCTATGGGATGCAGCAAAAGCAGTTCTAAGAGGGAAGTTTATAGCAATACAATCTGAACTTAAGAAACAAGAAACATCTCATATAAACAACCTAACCTTACACATAAAGCAATTAGAGAAAGAAGAACAAAAAAATCCCAAAGTTAGCAGAAGGAAAGAAATCATAACGATCAGATCAGAAATAAATGAAAAAGAAATGAAGGAACCTGTAGAAAAGATCAATAAAACTAAAAGCTGGGGGTATCCCTGGTGGCGCAGTGGTTGAGAGTCCTCCTCCCAATGCAGGGGACACGGGTTCATGCCCCGGTCTGGGAAGATCCCACGTGCCACGGAGTGGGTAGGCCCGTGAGCCATGGCTGCTGAGCCTGTGCGTCCGGAGCCTGTGCTCCACAACGGGAGAGGCCACAACAGTGAGAGGCCTGCGTACCGCAAAAAAAAATCAAAACTAAAAGCTGGTTCTTTGAGAAGATAAATAAAATTGATAAACCATTAGCCAGATTCACCAAGAAAAAAAGGGAGAAGACTCAAATCAACAGAATTAGAAATGAAAAAGTAGAAGTAACAACTGACACTGCAGAAATACAAAGGATCATAAGAGATTACTACAAGCCACTACATGGCAATAAAATGGACAACGTGGAAGAAATGGACAAACTCTTAGAAATGCACAACCTTCCGAGACTGAACCAGGAAGAAATAGAAAATATGAACAGACCAATCACAAGCACTGAAATTGAAACTGTGATTAAAAATCTTCCAACAAACAAAAGCCCAGGACCAGATGGCTTCACAGGTGAATTCTATCAAACATTTAGAGAACAGCTAATAACACCTATCCTTCTCAAATTCTTCCAAAGTATAGCAGAGGGATGAACACTCCCAAACTCATTCTACGAGGCCAGCATCACCCTGACACCAAAACCAGACAAAGATGTCACAAAAAAAGAAAACTACAGGCCAATATCACTGATGAACATAGATGCAAAAATCCTCAACAAAATACTAGAAAACAGAATCCAGCAGCACATCAAAAGTATCATACACCATTATCAAGTGGGGTTTATCCCAGGGATGCAAGGATTCTTCAGTATATGCAAATCAATCAATGTGATACACCATATTAACAAATTGAAGGAGAAAAACCATATGATCATCTCAATAGATGCAGAGAAAGCTTTCGACAAAATTCAACACCCATTTACGACAAAAACCCTCCAGGAAGTAGGCATAGAGGGACCTTACCTCAACATAATAAAGGCCATATATGACAAACCCGCAGCCAACATCGTCCTCAATGGTGAAAAACTGAAACCATTTCCACTAAGATCAGGAACAAGACAAGGTTGCCCACTCTCACCACTATTATTCAACATAGTTTTGGAAGTTTTAGCCACAGCAATCAGAAAAGAAAAAGAAATAAAAGGAATCCAAATCGGAAAAGAAGAAGTAAAGCTGTTACTGTTTGCAGATGACATGATACTATACATAGAGAATCCTAAAGATGCTACCAGAAAACTTCTAGAGCTAATCAATGAATTTGGTAAAGTAGCAGGATACAAAATTAATGCACAGAAATCTCTGGCATTCCTATACACTAATGATGAAAAATCTGAAAGTGAAATTAAGAAAACACTCCCATTTACCACTGCAACAAAAAGAATAAAATATCTAGGAATAAACCTACCTAAGGAGACAAAAGTCCTGTATGCAGAAAAACATGACACTGATGAAAGAAAACAAAGATGATACAAACAGATGGAGAGATATACCATGTTCTTGGATTGGAAGAAGCAACATTGTGAAAACGACTATACAACCCAAAGCAATCTACAGATTCAATGCAATCTCTATCAAACTACCACTGGCATTTTTCACAGAACTAGAACAAAAAATTTCACAATTTGTATGGAAACACAAAAGACCCCGAAGAGCCAAAGCAATCTTGAGAAAGAAAAACGGAGCTGGAGGTATCAGGCTCCCTGACCTCAGACTATACTACAAAGCTACAGTAATCAAGACAGTATGGTACTGGCACAAAAACAGAAAGATAGATCAATGGAACAGTGTAGAAAGCCCAGAGATAAACCCACGCACATATGGTCACCTAATCTTTGATAAAGGAGGCAAGAATGTACAGTGGAGAAAACATAGCCTCTTCAATAAGTCGTGCTGGGAAAACTGAACAGCTACATGTAAAAGAATGAAATTAGAACACTCCCTCGCACCATACTCAAAAATAAACTCAAAATCGATTAAAGACCTAAATGTAAGGCCAGACACTATTAAACTCCTAGAGGAAAACATAGGCAGAACACTCCATGACATAAATCACAGCAAGATACTTTTTGACCCACCTCCTAGAGAAATAGAAATAAAAACAAAAATAAACAAATGGGACCTAATGAAACTTCAAAGCTTTTGCACAGCAAAGGAAACCATAAACAAGACGAAAAGACAACCCTCAGAATGGGAGAAAATATTTGCAAATGAAGCAACTGACAAAGGATTAATCTCCAAAATTTACAAGCAGCTCATGCAGTCCAATATCAAAAAAACAAACAACCCAATCCAAAAATGGGCAGAAGACCTAAATGGATATTTCTCCAAAGAAGATATACAGATTGCCAACAAACACATGAAAGAATGCTCAACATCATTAATCATTAGAGAAATGCAAATCAAAACTACAATGAGATACCATCTCACACCAGTCCGAATGGCCATCATCAAAAAATCTACAAACAATAAATGCTGGAGAGGGTGTAGAGAAAAGGGAAGCCTCTTGCACTGTTGGTGGGAATGTAAATTGATACAGCCCCTATGCAGAACAGTATGGAGATTCCTTAAAAAACTAAAAATAGAACTACCATATGACCCAGCAAACCCACTACTGGACATATACCCTGAGAAAACCATAATTCAAAAAGAATCATGTACCACAATGTTCATTGCAGCTCTATTTACAATAGCCAGGACATGGAAGCAACCTAAGTGTCCATCAACAGATGATGGGATAAAGAAGATGTGGCACATATATACAATGGAATATTACTCAGCCATAAAAAGAAATGAAATTGAGTTATTTGTAGTGAGGTGGATGGACCTAGAGTCTGTCATACAGAGTGAAGTAAGTCAGAAAGAGAAAAACAAATACTGTGTGCTAACACATATATATGGAATTTGAAAAAAAAAAATGGTCATGAAGAACCTAGGGGCAAGACGGGAATAAAGACGCAGACCTACTAGAGAATGGACTTGAGGATATAAGGAGGGCGAAGGGTAAGCTGGGACGAAGTGAGAGAGAGGCATGGACATATATACACTACCAAACGTAAGGTAGATAGCTAGTGGGAAGCAGCCGCATAGCACAGGGAGATCAGCTCAGTGCTTTGTGACCAGGTAGAAAGATGGGATAGGGAGGGTGGGAGGGAGGGAGACACAAGAGGGAAGAGATATGGGAACATATGTACATGTATAACTGATTCACTCTGTTATAAAGCAGAAAGTAACATGCCACTGTAAAGCAATTATACTCCAATAAAGATGTTAAAAATAAAAGTCTGGCAGGAAATGTACCAAAATGTCAACTGTGTGATCGCTCGGTAGAGGGAACATGGGTGTCTTTATTTTCTTTTTTATAATTAAAAAAATTTGGGGGGGCTTCTCTAGTGGCACAGTGGTTGAGAGTCTGCCTGCCGATGCAGGGGACACAGGTTCGTGCCCCAGTCCTGGAAGATCCCACATGCCACGGAGCGGCTGGGCCCGTGAGACATGGCCACTGAGCCTGCGCTCCGCAATGGGAGAGGCCACAACAGTGAGAGGGCCCGCGTACTGAAAAAAAAAAAAAAAAAAAAAAATTTATAATTATTCAACAGCAATTTTTAATTTTCCTAATTTAAAAAATTGTAGTTTGGGCTAAAAAGGAGGTTTGTTTGCCAAAGAAAATTGAGACAAATATGGAGGCCAGGGATAGTAGGGTACTTTACATTTGTGGAGCGCCTACTGCATACCAGTGACTGCAGTAAACACTTCTCCTGCTTTCATTCCTTTAATCCTCACAACCCTCCTATGAAGTAGTAGCCCCACTTTATAGCTTGGAAAACTGAGACTCAGGAAAGGTTAGCAATTTGCTGAAGTCACACTATTTGGTAGAGATGATTAAATCCAGCTCTGCTTAATTCTGCACTGGTGTTTCTACAGTTAAAACACCCTATCTCCCTCTAAGCTGGCAATCCTGAGGCTGGAGTAGAAGCAACAGTCCTTGGCTTTTGGTGGATTTAACATTTGTTGAGTCTTCTCAAAGTTTTAGGTTTCTCTCTCCACGATCAACATTGTTACTCATGGAATGGTGCATGGCATCGTTAACATCACCTGGGAGCTTACTAGAAATTAAGCATCTCAGGACCAGCCAAGACCAACTGAATCAGAATCTGCATTTTAACAAGATGCCCGGGTGATTCACCTGCACATTACAATTGGAGAAGTGCATCTCTAAAAATGCCTCCCCAGCCCCACTCCCTGCCTGGGTTGCTATGGAAACCATCATCCCCAGCCTCTGCTCCCAATGTCTGGTCTCTTTCCCCAAAGCAAAGTGCTCTGTCAGACACTCACAGAAGCCCTGGGGCCCAAGAGGAGAAAAACTATTTCCAAATGCAGTTTATGAATCAAAATAAAGCCTGGCACTTCATGCTTTTCATGTGCAAGCCTCAAAGATAGCTAGCACCGGTCCCTCTACAACAGCCGGAGCTGTGGTGTGTGGGTACCTGTTTAACGGCCAGCTTGGGCTGCAGCCCTGATTTGTAGCACTTGCCAATTTCCATGGAGTAAATACTCCCACCAGGGCCAATTCCAAAGCCACCAAGGTGATGTCACTGAAGGTGAAGCTGGGAAGGGATGCACGCAATTGGGCTCAAGCAAGGAGGCACGAGTAGGCACCAGCTCCAGCACACCACTCAGCTAGAGCCAAATTTTTCTGAGTCAAGATCCTTCGTGTACGAGGGGAAGCCACAGCATTACTTCAGCTAATGAGGACATTATGTTTTACTGCTGGCTTCTACCACCATTTAAATTTATCCATCTCTAATTAGTTTTGGAAAACAGAAAAGGACTCACCAAATATACTCTGCAACAGCCTGTCAGACCGTAAAACTGTCTGTGCTGGCTGCTCTCTCAAAAAACAGAAGGAGTCTTGGGTTTGCTCCGGAGAAGGGTTGGGAAGCCCAGGCTCAGCCTCATGAATAAAACATGTCCAGTAGCTTCTAGGTGGGAGGAGAAAGGGGTTCCAGCAAAGCCTGTACCATATATTTCCCCTAACTCTTCAGTATCTACTCTCGTAGTTTACTTCTCAGCAGGGACAAGGTATAGCAGCTGCGTAGATTTGAGTTAGGAAGATAGAAAGTTAGAAATCCAAGGAGAAGCTGGATTGACAGAGGGGAGGTAAGAATAGCATGGGTGATGGAAAATTGGGAACAAACATATAGCAGAAGGAAGTAATAACTATTTGAAAAGCAGTGAGTATGTCTGTTTGGCTGGAGAAGAAAGTTGTTAACTATTGTCAT